TATGTCATCCAATGATCGACATGTGGAAATGCAGAATTGGCATGGTTAGGCCATACAATTTCTGGAGAAAAGTTAGGAATCCAGATTTCTAAATGTGAAATTTCACAAGGTTTAGATGTTGGCAGAATTTATAAAAACACTGGACAGGCAAGAGTCAACCTTGGGGCTGCTAGTTGGTGACCTCTGCCAGTCAACGAGGAGTCATGGAAGGGTATTAAGGGAGACGTGGACATGATTGAAATTGTGTTTTAGAAAGATTCCCAGGGCAGGGGTGGTAGGGTGGATGGGCAAAAACAGATTGAGGCTGGAGACAAGGAGAGTTGGGTCAATGCCAATGGGATGGGTAGAAGAGCAGCGATTCTTGTGAGGGAGAATTAGCAAGTCTTGGGTCTTGGTGTTTTAGCACCACAGAGGATGTCCATGGGGCTAGGGAGGCTTGCCTGTGAGCAGGCCCACCCTCATGCTCGAGGGTTTACCTCTGCTGAGACCAGGCCACTCTGTGAGCCCACACCACTCAGTGTATGTGAGTCTTTCTGTCCCAGGCTTGTAGGGTAAATTGCTTGCTTCTGCCTAGCATAGAAAGGTCATAAGTGTGTCCAGTTCTTTCTCCCATATGGGATAAATATTAAGGTTAACCCACCAGTGCCAACATTCCTAAGAGGACTTCATGTTCATACTTATACTGACAGGTCCAGGCCCAAGAGTTGAGACTTGGCCTGGGCAGGGCCTGAGGAGTGTCACAGAGGGACCCTTTCCAGGTCCTTTGCAACTGGGTGCCCAGCACTGCCTGTGGTCCACGGGGCTGAGGACTAGTGTGGAATTAGCATCCAGGCCCACTGGGCTTTGTGGAAAGCTGTGTAGTACCCTCAGTGCTGGATACATAAGAGTCTCAGAGCCAAGAAGTTAGCACTAGGTAATTATATCTATTTAATTATGCGGCTATTGTGTCATTTAGAGCCTGCTGTTCAGAGTTCACAGTGCCTGACTGACAACCTCATGGAACAAGTGTAAGCAACTGCAAAGCATTGTCAGGAGATGAGGGTATAGAGGTGGAACAGAGCAGGGACTCAGTGAGATATGGTGGGAGCTGCAGATATGCTGTTGGAGGGACGAATGGTCCATCAGGTGTTTGCTCCTGGAATGGCCTATCTCAGTCAGATTTTTCCACCCAAGTTTTGTTTCTCTTTTGGAAGCTTGGCTTATAGGCCTACAGAGGGCTTTGCAGAGGACAGGAGCATCCAGAGAGACTCTTGGTGTTCAAGAAGGAGTTGTCACAATTTGGTCCCCATCCCCAAAGTCTGGCTTGGGAAAGAATAGGAAAACGTGTCATGGGCAGCAGGATGAATGCGGAAGTCCTCAGTCTTCTGGATTTGCCTCTCTTTTTCCTATTGAGTTGCAGCCATTTCTTAATTAAGTTATTAATATGTCCTGGGCATTGCACAAAATGCTGTACATGCACCATCTCATTTAAAGGTGCTACTGTTAGCACGCTTTTAAAGATGAGAAAATTGAGGTTCATAGAAGCTAGGGTTAGGTAAATGATGGGTCTGGCTTGAACCCAAAACTGACTCCAGCATCTTTACTCTTAACCTCAATGATATACCGTGCTAGCAAGAGACTTAGCGCCCTCCCTGAAGGGTTAGTTTGGGCACTCTCAGAGATTGTCAGATGTAGTTTTTTTTTCAAAGATCTAGTAGTTTAACTCTATCACTTTGCAGATGAGGAAACTGAGGCATACAATGATTAAAGTTCCTTTTCCAAGATCAAACAGTAAGTTAATAACAGAGTCAGGGCATGCACCCGTGTCTGGCTGGCCTCCGGTCTGGTGCTCTCTGTGTCAGACCTATGGCTTTGCTAAACCCCCAGCTCGTCTTCCTCTTTACCTGGGTATGCTTCATAGATGCCTGCACAGCTATCCTTGAGGATGCAGAGACAAGTTCTATCACGCTACCTCCTATGGGAAGCTTTCTTCTATCCCTCTCCCCACCTCTTTTCCAAATAAGCATGACCATCCAACTCCCTCCTCATTTACCATTTCATAAATTCACTCATATCTATAAATGTGGATTGCCAATCTCATTTATGATTCCATTTTATTTTCACGATGAATAAGACAAGCCTGAGTTCAAATTCTGGTTGCATTATTGCACAGTTGAAAGGCTTCGCCATGATTATTTGCCTGCGTGGATCACAGACAGCTGGCTTTTGAAGGCCCTAAAACATGAGGCACATGGATGGTTCCCCAGCAGGCATCCATGGGGTAGTGCCAGTCCAGGAAGACCTTTTCAGTGGTGCATACTGATGAGTGAGACATAAGTACAGTGTGTAGAGACTGCATGTGCCTACACACACAGGTGTATGTGTGCAGAGAGAAAAATGATGCTGTATTTCTCAAAGGATGGCTCTTTATTGTGAGATTTTGCACTCTTTATTTTGGGGGAGTTGAATTATTTCATGAAATGATGGTGAGAGAAGATGCTGTTAATATTTTATCAAAATACAAGTGTGTCAACACTATCAGTCTTCGAATGCTGTTCAACACTTTACTGATGGCTGAAACCCAAATCGGGGAAACATGCTTTGAGCAGCTTCTCACCCAGTGCAGGATTCTCCTCTCAGTGTTGGAAGTTCACTACCTTCCAAGGAAGCCTCGCTCATTTCTGGATGGTTCTCATTGCCAGAGAATTCTTTCCTGTGTTGAACTGCAGATTGGCTTCCGCTAACATCTAAAGTTAGTCCTAATCCTATCCTCTAGAGCAACACAGTCCCCGTCTCACATAGTTTCTTCAAATATTTGGAGGAATACCATGTGGGAGAAGGATTGTATTGCTTTAGTCACTAGAGCAAGGACCAGTGGTTGAAAGGGACAAGGAAGATACATCTCTAGTTTTTTCTCCATTATCTTCTGCCTCATGGCCTCCTAATAAATAGTGAAAACAGCCACAACAGGAAAGATAGCTAACATTCAGCGAGTGTTTATTTTGTTTAAGGCAGTGTTCTAAGAACCTTCCAGTATATTAAGTAATTCATCCTCACCGCCACCCTCAGAGGAGGAGTTAGCATTAGCCCTATTTTATAGATGAAAAACAGGCATGGGGGCATTAAGTAATTTGCCCATGGTCAAACCAGAATCGAAACCTGTCCAGTGTGATTCCAGAGCCTATCCTTTGAACCACTAGACTTCTAACCCACAATTTAACCACTAGACATCTTCTCTCTCCTCTCTTTTCTACTTATCATTGTCAAAGTTCTTAAAATATGCTAAAACTACATATAGAACTAATACAAACTGGTAAGTTCAGAGTGGAGGAGATCATTCAACCCTCAGTTGGGTACCATATGGCTATTACTGCAAGCTATGATCACATTTAGTGAGTTTGGCAACAATATCACACCCTGGCTCATTTTGAGCTTGGATTTAAATCAAATAATCCAAGTCTTTTATTTTTATTTTTTTTCAAACTGGGTCACCCCATTCTGTTTTTTTTTTTTTTCAATACATGTTTTAAATGTAAGAGTGGGATTTGGTATATATATTCCTGTCAAATCTTTTCTACAAAACAGTCTGTTAAAAAAAAAAAAGTGGGTTTGCATGTGGACGAAGGATATACTAATTTTATGGTTTAGAGTAATGAGATTATGGGCATTTTTTCTTTATTTTCAAAATTATTTCATTTGTAGTTGTCATGATGTTACTGTGAAAGAAATAAAAGCCAGTAAAGGAAAAATGGACTTTTCACTTTTGGCCTGTTCTTTCAGCTTGCTAAAAGTTTTCTAACAATCTTGAATCTATCCCTCCAGCACAGTAGCTGCTTTTCTCAGCTTTTCATCATGTGCACCTGGAAAGTCTGCCATATCTTCTTTCAAGTCACAGGTGTCTCAGACGGACAGTCCCAGAGGGCAGGGATAGAACATACAGCTCCATGTAATTCAATCTAGAGACTTCATGTGCCAAGCTCATATCATGCTCAGTAGTAATATGTAAGTAGTTTAGAATAATACAAGTTGGAACCCATTGCCAGGCGAGGGTTGGTTCTGAGGTGCTGGTGGTGGCCTCTGGTTGGAATGATAAGAGTCCACCATTCAACATTTCAGCAGATATTTATTGAGAACCCAGCACATCCTGGGCACTCTGCTAGGTTCTGGGGATAGAAAGATGCAGAAGACATGGTCCTTTTCCTCAATGGTTTGTAGTCCAGTGGTCTGGTCCTGCCTCTGAGGCATATCCGTGAGCTATGAGTCTTGATCATGCAGGTGTAAGGAGACAGCCCCGGAGGAAATGCCTTTGCCTCAAGGAAGTCATCATGAACAAGAGAGTCAATTTGGTTTCCTCAGCACATCTCACTACACCCCATCCCTGAATCTTCTAACTGAAATTCCACCTTCTTCCAAAAAGGCTTGCTTGTCTTAATTAAAGGGAAAGTACTAAAGAGGGCGGGGACATGTGAGGGTTTACATTATGTCAAGTCCTTGTTGAACAACCTTCCATGTCTCTGTGATCCCGCAGGCTAGCCTGCCCTCTATTGCCTGACACTGAAACCTCCGAATGCTCTGGCCCCACCTTGCTGAGCTGGCATTATTCTCTCCTCTAGTGTCTTTCAGGCAGACAAGTCTCTGCATCATCCCAGGACCATCCATGCTCTTCTGCCCCTTGGCCCTTGCTCAGATAGCCCCCTTCTTTGGAATGCCCTCTCCCTCCCTCCCACCAGCCAATTCTTGTCTGTCCGGTCCACCAAGACACCATTCAAATTCCACCTCCTCATGAAAACCCCTTGAATGCTGCAACTCTTGCAGACTTCCTGTCTCTGTGGAGAGAGAATAGGCATCGCTTCTGTACACTTTAGCACAACTTTGTATACAGTCTGGCCTTATTGGGGGTTCTTTTATGTGGGTGATCTCCCTTCCCCAGCAATGTGGAGGCAGTGCTTTTATAACAGAACCCATAGATTTTATTTCTGCTGCTTCAGCATGTGTGGATCACAGAGCAGACAACTGATAAATATGTGGTGACGATTTTTATTTTTACAAAATTGTTTTACTCCAGAAAGAGAATTAAAAGCAGGCAGACTTTTTTATCTTTCCAGTCCTGCCCCATCATTCTTCTCCATGCACATTTTTCTTCCTGCCTTATTGGACTCTTCACCTTTACTTGCAAGTTCTCGTCTGCAGCAAGACTTTCATATTCCTGCAGGAGACAACAGGGTCAGTGTTGTTGTTTGCTTGCCTTTTGCAGCCTTCCCTGTCTAGATTGCAAAGTTTCATAGGAGCCTTTCTGCTCTGTTCCCCTGCATGGGGTATTCCAATAGGTAGGAGGCACCCGTAAATGATTATTACCTTGGTCAGCTCAGGGCACTTGACAACCATGAGCCTTTTCTCTCCTCTGGTAGCCCTATAGGGAAGGGAAATACAAGTCCTAAGAAATGGAGGCACCAAGCAGGTAGAGGAGGGCGTGAACCTCTCACTGCCCTGATTAGGTCTCTAAACAATAATGGTTTTGCACCAGGAGTCCCTTGCTAGGAAGCTTTCTCACTCAGCACTGCGGGCACATGGCTGCCAGCCCTGGCCTTTTTCCTGAGCCAAACCCACCTCTGGGTTTACCCCCATCCCCACCCTGGCTTTCACTTCTGCAGCATCTTACACAGTCTATAAAGATGTTTTCTTTCATTGGCAGGTGAAGTCTGGAGCAGGACTTCTGAGGCTTTCTATCCTCCATGCCGCTCACTAGAAAAGGGGCTGTGAACTGTAAGTAACTTTGATTGGCGTTTTCCATGCTGACTCAATAAGGTTAGGGGTTAAAGACCAGCCCTGAACCTGATCTTTAACAGCCATGCATTGTGCAAGAGAAACACTCAACAAAGAGCTAGTCAGAATATAAAATACAGTGGAGCTCTAATTAGATTATGTCTGAATGTGACAAAGAGGCCCTGTAATATGACATCCTATTTAATTAGACTATATTGATTGTGCATTAAGGTGGACTCGATGTGTTACATGTGTCATGAGTGCCAGAGAAGGAAGCTGTTGAGTCTGCAAGGCCGACCCAGACCCCAGCCACTATCGCCTGTGGGCTAAGCTTGGGAGGCAGTGAGGGGAGGAAGTGGCAACATCAGTCCTCAAACTGGGCCAAGTTTATAGCCTGCACTTGCTTTTACATCTGGTTATTTCTGGGGAGGCATGAGGGAGGGAAAAGGAAATGCTGCTGACCGCTTCCCTTCCATCAGCCCAGTAAAAGCTTGACCTCTTACTTAGGCTTATTTGCTCATATTGGTTCTCCCCACTTGGCAAAAGTCTACCCACCTGTGGGACCCGGCCTAAGTCCAGCCTCCTCCATGGAGCCTTCCTTGGTAATGCCAGCTGGAAGTGATCTCTTCCCTGTCTGAAATTCCGCAGCATTCACACACGCTGCCCCTGCCTGTGTCCCCTGCGTCCGTCCCCACCTCTGGCTGTCACATTACCATGCCCTCTCCAGCGAGGCCGTGAGCTCCTGGCAGGTAAAGTCCAGGATTCCTACTTCTCAGTCTGCCCACTGCACCCTCAGCCTACTCGCTCTTTAGTAAGGGTTACCTGGATGACTGAGTTGCCCTGGGCGGGCAGTTTCCCCACCCTCCTTATGGGGCTACCTGAGGCTGAGCTGCTGCCGCCACGACTTTGATAGTACATTGGCTTCCAACCAGTCCATGGAATTATAAATGATTAACCGTTATCAGCGCACATCTTCACCTCTGTGTAAAAATAGATTGACTGTAATGAGTATTTGAATAAATCATAAGAATGGCCGCCCTGTGATCGGCTAACATCCTGCCGATGGCTGCCTGGTGAGTGAGCAGGGCGCCGGCCCTCCCGCCTAATGGCCTGCGATTCAGCGCCGGTCGCCTCTGTGATTGACGGGCCTGGGCTCCCAGGGCACCTCCTCTGCAGCCCTGCTGAGGAGCAGTCAGATCTCCAGGCCAGGGTTTAGGGGGAAGGGTACCTTCCTCCATCCTGTTCCAGGAAAGCCTGCCTAGGAGGTAGGGCGGGGGTGGGCGGAGGGGCAGACTAGAAGATAATGACCTTTGTGAGAATCGATGTCTCCTCGCATCGGAGGTTAGAGGGACCTCATAAGTCAAGTATGAGGAGCAAGCTGAGCGTGAACCTTAATGAGAGCGGAGAGCGTGGGGGGAAATAGGCCTGCGCATCCCCCCGATCCCTGAGGGCAGCCGGGCACCTCGGCTCTGGCCACCACACCCAGGAAAGCTCCCTGGCAGGGACACAGTCTTGGGCCTACAGAGAGGAACCAGGAAACACGGGTTTCTTCAGGTCTCAGGGCTCTGAAATGGAAAGATTCAAATGACCTTTCAGGGAGTGGTTTACCAGGGTGGCCTCAGGCATGGGGATCCTACCTTTTGGAGTGAAAGGAAAAAGAGCAGATGGGGAGGCAGGCTCAGGGTGATAGGGACCAGTTGAAGAGGGAAGAGTCTAAAAGTCTGAGGTTTCAGAGACAAGGCCAGTGAGGGCTGGATTTGAGAGGGAAACAGCAAATATTCCAAGTTAATTCCAGTGGTGTCCCATTTCTAGTTTATGTAACAAATCACCCATAACAGAATGGCTTAACATCATTTATTCTGCAGGTCAGGAATTCAGAAAGGGCATGGTGGGGCAGCTTGTTTCTGTGCCATGAGGTGCCACCATGGAATCTCAGTGGGGGCAGCTCAAAAGCTAGATGCTGGAATCATCCAAAGGCTTGTTCTGTCATCATTCTGGGCTTTGATGCTAGCTGTTGGCTGAGAGATTGGCTGGACTGTCTTGGCCAGACCCATGTGACAGCTCCATGTAGCCTGAGCTTCCTCACAATATGGCGGCTTGATTCCAAGAGTGAGCATTCAAGAGACAGCAAAAGGCAAGTGGAAGCTGTGTTGCCTTTTATTACCTACCCTTCGAAGGCAAGCTGCATCACAGCCACTGCATTCTCTCAACTGAGGCAGTTGCAAAGGTTCACCTAGGTTTAAGAGAAGGGAACATAAATACCACCCCCACTCCATCTCTCCAAGGAGTATCAACATCACATTGAAAGAACAGCATGAGGAATAGGATGTATCTTGTTGCAGTTGTCTTTAGAGAATACAGTCTACCACAATTAGTACTCATCAAGTTAGTGGTCTGGCATAGCACAGCCTCATCTATTTCCCAGAAAGAATAAAAGGAACCCTTCTTTGGGGGTGATTTGTTCACCCTAGAAAGACAGGCTAAAGAACCCCCTGCCTTAGATAAATTAAACTATCCCTTAATTCACAGAATGTTTGAGTCAAAAGGGCCCGCGGAGGCCAGGCAAGGATTCCTTCCTGGGCAGGCCATGCTGATGTTAGCAGGTCCTGCAGCTGGTAGAAACTTGGACCTCAGGGTCCATCTCAGCAAGACTGAGTTGGGTCTGTGACCCACATCTTCAAGTGTCAGGTCTGGAGGAGTCCTAGACTGTGAACTAGGACTCCACAAGCCTTGAGCCCTTCATTCACATCCAGGGCTCCCTGGACCACCATCCCCATGGACTTCCAAGCTGGGGTAGGCTTCACACAAAGATTAGGATGTAAGATGCTCTAAGGGGCTGTGCTGTAGCTGGGGAATTCAGGGCAGCCCCTCCTCGCTGACCTCACATCCCCTGCTCTCCTTCCTTCCCGTCTGCCACATATTATGTCCTGGGGAGGCTGTGCCCTTCAAGAACTATAGTTTCTTTCCTTTGCCATTTTTCTGACTCAGATGCAGCTAAATCCTGGAAGAGGATCTGAGTGTCCTGGGTGCCTTGTTGTGACTTAAGGGGATAGAAAAAAGCCCAAGCTACCAAAGAGGAGAAACAACCAGCCCGTACCCCCAAAGGGCTGAGATCTGAGAATCGCTAACACTGAAGGGGAGGGGGCAGGGACGAGAGGGGTGAGGGGACTTGGTCTTGATAAAAAGTGCTGGAGTTTGGCGGGAGAGTCTTGGATTCTTCCACTTATTGGACACTTACTACATACTAGGCATTATGCTAAGCACTTAACGGTGCGTTCTCTCACTGAACCCTCACACTGTGTTATGGGATGCTGTTATTATCTCTATTACAGAAGAGGAGAGGAGGCTTAGAGAACAAGAGGAATACCCTAGGAAGTAACAGAGTTGAAATTCAGCTGAGGATTCTCTATACTTGAGACTTATACTGTTCTCTTGTGTGATACTCAGTTTACTCCTCTGTAAATGGAAATTCTGATGGCATCATCCCCAGTGTTACCTTCATTTCTAAGATTCTAAATGTGCAGATAAGATTTTGGGAACTTGTTTAGATATAGCTAAGTGGGCCTACTTTATAGAGTTGAGTCTAGGTGAAAGTACGGAATGGTTTCCTGTTCTGTCCCCTTTTGTGAAACTTAGGTCAGGAAGCTAACATTTAATTTGGGTACGTGAAGGAAACAGATGGAAACAGACATAAAGATCATTTAGATTTTCAAGGCTCCAGCTTGGGAAAGAATGTTGGATTTGAAGTACAAAGATCAGGTTTGAAGCCCAGCCTTAGCACCCCTGTGATCCTGGGCACATCTCTTTGGCCTTTGGCTTCTTCGTCTCTGGAATGGAAATGGGGTTGTATATACTTCTCAGGACTGCTGTGAGGACTCACTGCGATCCAGCATGTGCACGTATCTGGAGCCATTCTTGGCATACAATAGGTACTCACTAAGGCTCCAGCCATCACTCACCCAGTAAATAAATAAAAAGTGGAGTTGGAAAGAAAGACTATTCCTTTCCATTGCTTCTGACAGAGATGGTCAAGAATCTTGCCTTTAACTGTACTCTCCATAAAAGTTCACTCATAAACTATTGATATTTTAATAATACACATTAGCATCTTGCCCTTTGACAAATGAATATTGAATGAGCAATAAAGAGGCAAAACACTAGCCAGGTATACTGCTGCAGAGAAGCTGGGATCCTGGCTGGCTGTCCAAGGGAATGCCCCCTTTCCAGAGACCTTGTAACTCACCCCTCACCCCAGTGACCCGTAAGGAAACAGCTCTCAAAAAGAGCTCAGAAACCAGCCGGGCCAGTCTGGCCTGAGTAGGGTTTGTCTTCATTTTTTCTTTCAGTGGGCTGGAGGGGACTTGGAAGGAGACAGAAAAGGTCATTAAAGAACCACTAAAAGGGTGGATGTTTTACCCCATGTGAAACACTTTGGATCTTCCTGTTACCTTTGGGAAAGGTGGAGGTTTCTTCTTCACGTACTCTCTTCTCCGTAGATTGCATCTACAGACAGTCAGACAGTGTGCCCACAGGAAATCAGGCAACGAGTGTAAAAACAACAGACTCGATCCACCCCACTCGACCAGATCTTGATGGGAACCTATGCTCGAAGGGTGTGTGCTAAGGTTTATCAAACAGAATTTCCTGCCTCTTCCAGCTTTGCTCCCAGCTCCGTGGCCCCAGCCTCCAGGTTCTCATGGCCTCCGTCTAGGCTGGTAGTCCTTGAGTGTGTAGAGAGCAGTGACAGGGGCTTTTCGCTGGTCCGGCTTAATTGGTGTGATTTAATGGCGTTTCTGGAGGATTCAGATTCAGGCTTTCCAAGCTGCAAATCTGCTTTCTAAATGTGGAATTTTTGTGGAGTGGTAAAAAATAATGGCTGTTCTGTGATTCCTGCCTCCTGAGCTAGGAGATTGCAATTTACATTATGCAAATAGACATTATGCAATCAAGGCACTTTAGCAGGAATCTGGCGGCAGAGAGGCCGATTGATGAGATGCGGA